GGGGCGGCTCGCGGTTATGGCGCTTCCCCGGCCGGCGTGAGGCAGAGGGGTGCGGCCTTCTTCCTCAGCACTCAAGCGAGCACGCGGTTTGCTTTAAAAGGTGTGTCCTCCGTTTAGACAAATGTCTCCTTTGTGTCTATTAAAATACATTAAAAAGTTGTTAACGTAAGTCCCTGTAGCTGTGGTACTTAGGGTACGCGTTAATCATATCTTTCTACATTTTGTGGTTTTATACTGCAGGTTTTCACATACACCTCCATTTGCATCTGCCACAACAGGTAAGTGTCACGGCAAAGCTGGGACCAGCAGGTAGGTCTGGTGTGTTCTTGGAGCCTCAACCACCATAAAACCCGGCAGGGGGGTGAGAGGAGCCAGGAGAGATTCCCCGACCTCCATCTGCACCAGGATCTGGGATCACCTCGATAAAATCCAGCTGGGCAGGAATCCTGCCTGGGCATCATCATCCAGTGTGGAGATCAGTGCCCCTTCTGCCCTGCTTCCTCCACACTGCCCCAACTTCTCCAGGTTTTCCTTTGATTTTGCTTTGTAATCACAAAGTCTGAAGTTCAAACCAGACATAGGTTATCTGCTTGTTAAGTATTATAATAATGTTTTAATATATATTTCCTGCTTGCCTGAAAAACATGTCATAGGATCTTCGTCTTGTTTTGCCTGTGGCAATGGCTTCAGGAACAGCATTGATTTATGATGAGGAAATGACCAGTCATAAACTACTTTGGAATGAGTAAGTCAATAACGGTTTTTTTGTTGTTGTTGTTTTGTTTGTTTTTTAATGAATAGATTCTTATTAGGGCTTCTAAGAGAGGTAACATATATAATTTTACCTCAGTTTACATGCAGTACCTAGTGATAGGTATCCTGTCACTTGCTTCATAAATAGAAACTCTTGCCTGTGGTACAAAAACTTTATTGTCACCATGTATCCAGATGCCCTCATGAGAACCTGCAGCTGCATTTGACAGGCTGTTGGCCTTAAGCTCAGTAGGCCTTAGTTAAGACCTGTCTAGTTTTAGATATCTGAGTAATCCTCTGAAAAAAAAGTCCTTTAACAAAACTACTTATAAAGCTGAAATGTAACAAAATTGGGGCCTTGGGAAAAATACATAGATATACCAGCTGAAGCTCTTTTTGTAGTAGCTTAGTGGTAAATTCAAGTTTGCCTGCTTTACACATGCATAAGTCACTTTCCTAAATGTACCTAAATTACCAATGTACCAATATATTTAATGCTGTCTCAAAATGGAAGTTCACTGTTGTCTCCTTTCCTAAACCCACTTTTTGTGTCTTAACCTACTGCTTTTCAGTTCAGTTCAGTTTTGGTGCATGTGTGTGTAGTTAAGTGTTGGTAGTTCCAGGGAGAAAAGAGAGAATGATGCTATTCTGTTTCTTTTTTTATTTTAGAGCTATATACTTTTTTTCACTTTAACACATTTATTGCTTATTTTTAGTCCAATTTGTGATATTGAAGTACCAGAAAGACTGTCATCGTCTTATGAGCAGCTTAAACATTACCATCTTGTGGAAAGATGCGTCCGTGTGCCTGCCAGAGAAGGAAGCGAGGAGGAGATCCTGTTGGTTCACAGGTCTGAAATTTGCTTTCTTCACCTTTCAGATTAATTCAGTGAAATAACAGACCTTTCTACCTGTGGATCATAAAAGTCTAATCCGAAACTTAGTGACTTCAGACATTTCAGTGGAGAGTAAGTCATGTTAAGTGTAGCGGAGGTGCTGAAGTATGAAGCTGCTATTCCACTAAATCCCTTTTCTCACACTTTGAATTCTTTTGAGCTACAGGGGTTAATTTATGCACAGCATGAAAAGTAATTTCTAATAAAAAATGGGATAAGACAGGAGGGAGAAAAAAAAATCAGAATAATGGAAAATCCTTAGAAGGATTTTTCTCCTCTTTCTTCCAAACTTCTCTGAGGTAGAGTGAACCAAACAGAAAAGCTTGGCAGCTAATTTCAATGGGGGACTTCATGGCAATGAAGTCTGCCTTGCTGTGATGGTTCTGCAGTGGGCATGCGTGCTGTGTGTGTGCTCATTTGCCTCCTTAGCAGGGAGCAGCCAGGGTGGATTCCTCTGAAAGGGAAGGACAGCTGGGAGCAGAGCAGGGTGACAAGGCAGAAAGGGTTGGTGGCTACAGGGACAGTAACAGGACCTAGCGCAGGTCTTGGGATGGATGAGGTTCAGCCAGGAGTCTGGATTGCCAGACGAGTCCATAGGGTTAAGTCTGAGATCAAGGTAGGGATCGGTCCACAGGTCCAGATCAATGGAGTTTATGGCTAGGCATAGCCATTGCTGCAGCAGAGCTGCAGTGTAGGCACAAGCGAGAGCTTTGCCTTAAAAACAACTCCAAAGGAAGGAGGGAAGCCCCTGCAGAGACCTCTTTGCAGAGCTGCTTGGAGGGAGCCTCCCCCGAGGTTTCCAGCTTATGTTTTCTAGGCCACGAGCTGCATCGTCTCTAAACTGGTCCTGAACAGTGCAGCCAAACTCCCCAGAGGGGAGGGATGTCTTGATCCTTGTAATGAGAGCATAGCTTCATCCTGAGGCGTGCTTAAAATAATCCAGCTTGCAGAACAGTATTTTTCCTTGGAAACTCCTTGCTTGTTAGAATGTAACTAGTGCCAAATACAAATAAAAGTTTTTTTTTTCTTTTTTTTTTTTAATTTTAAGTATAGTGCTGATAGGGTGCTAAAGAGTCTTGATCACTATTCCCAATGTAGTTGTCCCTGTTAGATGACTTGGGATAGATTATTTAACTGAGTGGTATCTTGGTTTTCATGGATAAGCTACAGATAATAGTATTTTCTCCTTTCTTCAGGTTTTAAACTAATAGCTAAACAAAACAGTTTCAGATTGAAACAGACATCTACGTGACAAATACATAATTACTGTGGAAATGTTTTGTATGTGTTCCCAGCTAGGCACTGAGGCTGATGGAAAAGTTCAGCTAGTAATTAGAGTCATTCAGGTTCTTGTCATTGTAATCCTGTTAATTCATTCCTTTTTTAGGCCACTGATTTGCTTTATTTCTGTTAGATGGCAGCAGGGTGTCTCATTCTGTGTGGTGAAATTCTAGTTGCTTCAGCACTGGCCGCCAAGGGGAACGCACACACGGGCATTATTTCCTGAGCTGTGGCACAGATAGGAGAGTAGATACCATTGACCTCCTCTCTATCCCACTAGACAAGAGTAAGAAAGCAGTGGCAGTGACTGTGTGAAACACTGAATCCAGTACCCTCTTGAATTAGTAAAAAGAGAGATGGTGGTGCACACCTGGTAAGGGACCTCTTTTCCATCAAAGTCAATTCACACTGATAACTGTCAAAATCATAATTTAGTTCTTGGTCTCTGTATATAAGATAGATTGCAAAATAGACTGGTACACGATAGATGGACAGTCTTTTTGTAATAGCAGGACTAATTGCTCTTACCACTAGAAAGGGAAAAGAATGTCCTTGTGTTCTTCTAAGAAACAAGAACCCTTGTTCTTCATTGCAGTCTGCATCTAACATTTCAGAGTTCCTGTTAGATTTATAAAGTCTCACAGAAGGTCACTTTAACGTAAATTCTGTGACTTCTGATTACATTTTGCATTAAAAAATAAGTATATATTTACCTAGGTAAATAGTGTGTTAATATCTTTCTTTCCTCTGCAGTTCTGAGCACTTGGAAGTTGCCAAAAGCACCCAGACAATGAATGAAGAAGAGCTGAAAAGTGTTTCTGGGAATTATGACGCTTTTTTCTTTCATCCGGTGAGCAAATTAAACATTTTTTTTCCTTTGAGCATTAACAGCATTTGTATTATTACATCTAAAAGTGCTTTTCCAAATAGGGGAAAATTGGCAATACTTTTTTTTTTTTTTGCTATTTAAATTGTATGTATTAGTATTATTGGATGCAGTGGATGTATTTATGGCATTATTGTATCTGTTGCAAGTTTATTATAATGCTGTAATTTAAATTGGTTACATGTTCTGTCATCTATTCTCTACCTGTATTATGTCAGTAAGTGTGCTACACTTAGTCTATTCTCTACCTGTATTATGTCAGTATAGCACACTTACCAAATGTTATCTTATTTTTTATCAGTTAGCCACATCATTGAAGACCATTAGGGACCTGCAAATCACATTTTGTTAAAAGTTACTCTAAAACATTGCTTCAGATAAAGCAGCAGAAGTCTTTTGTATTTTTCCTCTGTAAGGTTTTATATCTTATTTTCATAGATATGATCTCACTTCACTAGTCAGATCAGTAAGTCTATCACATTTCCTGTATGCTCTAGAGAGACTGTCCTTACAAAGGACATGATGATCACAGGTAATTCTAGTAGAGACCACGTTAGAAACTATGCTGTAAAATTCTGCTCTCAGTTACCTGCATACAACTTCAGCAGACTGCCCCTATGTCAGGACAACTTGCTGTTGTGATGCATGTCGTGTACGGTTAGTTTAAAAACAATCCGGTGAGTGATTGGTGGTAATCAACAAGATATTGTTTTTTAGAGCACTTACCGCTGTGCCAAATTAGCAGTAGGAGCAAGTCTGCAACTGGTCGACTCTGTGCTGTCAGGAAAAGTGTGCAATGGAATGGCACTAGTAAGGTAAGAAAATACTAAGAGAGTCTTTGCTTTTCACAGAATTTCCTTTGCTGGGAATACCTATATTTAATTTTATTTTAGGCCTCCAGGTCACCACAGCCAGAGGAATGCAGCAAATGGGTTCTGTTTATTCAACAATGTTGCTATTGCAGCAAAATATGCAAAAATAAAATATGGTCTACAGAGGTAAGTGCATGGCTGGCTCTAGAGAAGCTTTTCTTAGGCATATTCAGTGCAATTTAGATACCATTTGGCACTTTATCATATTAGGATAACATCTAAAGTGTCTTGGGTGTTGAGGATCTTTTGTTCATGAAAATAACTTGGTTCATCTGTACCTCCATTAGATTGGGATGCTGTGGTTATTTCAATCAGTGTTTTCTTTTTCTGATAAATGCAGAATCCTAATTGTTGACTGGGATGTGCACCATGGGCAAGGAACTCAATATGTTTTTGAAGAGGATCCAAGGTTTGTAAGATGTTTTGTTTATTTTTTATGCTAAATAGTTATATGTTATTTATCTTCATATTCTAGATATAGACATCTTGCCGAATGTGTTTCATTCTCTTGGCTGTTTTAGTTCCTATATCATTCCTTCCTTTATTTGTTATCAAACAGGGAAAAATATCTAACAAGAAAATGTTACCTAAGGAATAGCACAGAATGAGCAATATGACTACCTTGGTTTGTCAGTAAAAAAAATATATATATTCTAAGCCAGCATTCAAATAATCTGTCAATTCTGTCTGCTCAGGAACCTCTCTGTTTATTGAAGTAATAGTTGACAAAGCCCATTAGTTTTATGTTGCTTTCTGAAAATAGGTTCTTGAAACAAGTCTCCTTTTCTGAAAATGCCTTATCTTTCATCTTAACGGCACCCATACAAGAAATCTGTAGCAGTTGTCCGAGTTAAGGGGGAAGGAGGATTCTGTTTTCCTTCCTGCTTTCAGTCAGTAGGGCCTCCAAGTTTGGGATATGTCAGTTTTGACATTTTCATTAAGACATGTTTGTTTCTGGTGTCTTTCAGTGTTTTGTATTTTTCGTGGCATCGCTATGAACATCAGGAATTCTGGCCATCACTTAAGGAATCTGATTATGACGCTGTAGGTTTGGAAAGAGGAAAAGGGCGTAATATAAATTTGCCTTGGAATAAGGTAAGCATCACGTAGAGAACAAAAAGACAAATACAGCAACTTTCTATCTTTACATTACGTAAGGCATTTTCTGGAAGGTGCCCTGCTTCACTTGCCTGGCAGATGTCATGGTGCAGTGCATCACATTCCTGATGCAGAATGTCTGCTCAGAAGTACGTCTCAGAATGTGACAATGTTAAAATAAAAATATATATATTCTGTTTTCATCAAAATCTTGTCTAGCCATCAAGTCAGAAATAGTTTGAGGATATGATTATTGCTCAGCAAAGAACTGAAGCTTGTACTCCAAGAGTGAAAGTGCTGGAAATCAGTGTACTTTACTTAAATGGGTTTGTTTTACTCGACTCGGTAAAGTTGCTTCATCCTTAACTGTATTTCCATAATGTCACGAAGAACTTAGAAGAAGTGAACAGAAGAAAATCTGTAATTCCAACAGAAGAATATGATCTTTATTGTATTTTTACTACTATATATTCTATCCTATGCAATTTTACGTTTTTGGTATATTCTTTGTGTATATGTGTATATTTATAATAAGTTATTTTAATATTATTTTATATTATATGTTGTCATATTATGTTTTGCAGGTTGGCATGGGAAATTCAGATTATCTTGCTGCTTTTTTTCATGTCTTGCTTCCAATGGCTTTTGAGGTAAATTATTTTTGCTCTGTTACTAAAATAACAAAATCGCAGGCTACTTCTTCAATACATTTTAAGCAGGTACCTTCAAATATATTTTGTAGAATTGTAGCACCTAGCAGTAATGCAAATAATACATTATTTCTGCTGGTAAGAATGGTGTCCTCATTAACTGAATAATATTTTTGAAATGTTTAATTTTTAAATATTCAATATGAAGATGTGTATCTTCTCCAGCAGGAGTTATGGGCAATCTTAGTTTCAATTTTATTTTATTCCTGTTTATGATTTAGTTGAATACAGTTAAACGTGGTTTAGTTGAAACCAAGTACAAAACTGAAAAGAGGACTTAGGAACGGAGACCAACATCTTTCTGTTTTACAACAGTTTGATCCTGAGCTGGTTCTTGTGTCCTCTGGATATGATTCAGGAATTGGAGACCCTGAGGTAAGTAGCCTGTCATGGCCTTTGTGCAGTCGGTCATAAATCTGATTCTAAAATACTTCTGCTTCTTAAATGTCCACTGATTGTTAGATGGAATTCACTTTGACCAGACAAGAGTTTGAGCCTCAAAATATTAGGATGAGACTGTAAAGACCAGATTATCCCATCGATATAACTTGCATGTTGTTTTTTGTACCTTCCCTTAACGTAGTTGGTTCAGCATTTTTTGCTAGATGCATACTATTAGAGATAAATATTCCAGTATTCTGACTTAGACCCATATATTTCAGATTGTCATTTTTTTAACCAACATTATAAGTCAGGGTTATAGCTCTTTATTAATAATTTTGTTTGCTTTAGGGTCAGATGAATGCCACTCCTGATGTTTTTGCCCATCTTACCCACTTCCTCATGCAGCTAGCTAATGGAAGGCTGTGTGTTATCCTGGAGGTAAGGCTGATGGGGAAGGGCTTTGTATTAGAGCTATATCAGCCAAGCTAGACAGGAGAAAGACAGGCCTCTTAACAATGTATTTGATGAATAAGCTGCATTATGGATGCTTTTGCAAGAGTGTCTTTCTTTGTTTTAAAAATGTTTAACTGAAGTATGCTCTTACTTGGCAGTGAAGCCTTTACTGATTTTTCCCTTGTTTTTTAAATTACAGAACATCTCTTTAAGAACTCTGTTTTAACTATGAAGTTTCCTGTTCTTAAAATCTGTATTCCAACTTACCCTTTCTGCAGCATGTTAGAAAATATTCTTTTTCAAGTAAATAGATTTGTTAGTATAATATTCCCAATGAAGTCTCCAAGAGTGCATCCATCATCTAAGAAATGATTCATTTCTTGACCTCTTTTCCCTTGAACTTTCTTCCTTCATACCTTCTCTCTCCAGCAGGTTACTGTAGGTCCTTCTGTCTCCCAGATGAAGTGCAAAGAAGCATCCCTTTCCAATGCCAACATGTAGCTGTTCTACTGGTAGTGTGCAGGAAGCAGTTTGTCATCTCCAGTCTAGCAGTCTTAACTCTAGTCCTTCAACTTCTGCCAAACCATCAGGTCAACTGGGCCTTAAAGTGTCAGTCTGTAGAGCATTTCCGCTATACTGACATTTTAGATGGCAGTGCTAGTATTTGCCCTTTAAGGATTCTTCCACGAGAATTGCCAAAGGTGCCATGTCTTGGGTAGGGTTGAGGAAGGGATATATTTCCAGGGTTTCATGGCAAAATCATTATTTCCAAAGTCAATCATGCTAAAATGAGTGGCATCATGACACCAACAAAATTCATTAAGTTGCCTCCAACTTACTGTTCCCAGATCAAAAACTATTGACTTAGGTGGCATCATGACACCAACAAAATTCATCCTCCAGCTTACTGTTCCCAGATCGAAAACTATTGACTTACATGTGTTTGCATATAATTCTCCATTTCTGTAAATTCATATATATTTCAAAAGTTTAGCTTTTCACTTACATTTTACAAGTATTTGTTGCTTCTGTGGCACTTCTTTTTTTCTAGGGTGGTTACCATTTGAAGTCATTGGCTGAATCAGTCTGCATGACTGTGAAAACTTTGCTTGGGGATCCTGTACCTCAAATAACTGGAGAAATGGCTCCTTGTCTAAGGTAAGTCCAGAAAGAATTTTACATGTTGCATATTTATCAAAGAAACCGAAGACGTACATGCTTCCAATGTTTTGCTGAAACAAGATTTTAATATGATACTTAGTAGGATACTAGTTTCTGCTTCAGAAAATTTCCATTCCAAAAAAGTCAACCTAGATACAGTTTTGCGAATTTTGTTTTCTGTACCTGGAATTAATGCAGAATTGTAATCCGTCAAGAACTTCTTATAATTTAAAATGTTTATCACTGGATTGTTCCAGGGTAACAAGACCATGTCATTCAAGGCTGAGGCCAAGCCAATGCTGGTTAATAGCAGCCATTTTTGGAAAAGTCTGTAATTGCAGTGATTAGTTCTTCAGGCACCAGAATCACTTGCTATAGTAGAGCAAGTGCAGGATTTGACCAGCAGAAGTTGCTTCTCTGCAGAACCAGTCTGCATGACCCTCCAAATTTAAACTTTGGGCCTGACTTATTTTTGGAGACAGTAATAATTGCATTTGCGCAGTAGTGCAGCTGACCTAGTAAAGCATTCTGGACATGGGCCTATGTCAGTCCCACTTTTACACAGTGTCTTTCCTGTGCCATCTTCTGCAGATCTCCACGTATCCGATCTTCGCTCTCTTTCCTACTGCAGTAGCTGCTCTGTGATTTTCCTCAGCAGTGATGGCCCTCTTGCATTTTGGTGGGTAGAAGGCAGCACCTACTGGTTGGCTGTGTTATTTAAATTAAAACTCAGACCAGTCAGCCAAGCAATGGAGATGTATACAGGTTGCTGAACAGACTTGGATTTATAACTCCAAACAGTTACTAAATAATCTCTAAACAGACAAAATTTGCCCTATATATAATCTGACCTGTATTATGGTTGTGTGACAGCTAGTGCACTGGGACCCTTTGGCACAAACAAGAGCAGTAACAGGAAGGAGAGATTTTTACACAGAGAATATCAAGGAATTTGATTTCCTTAGTTTCTGTCCCACTTTCAATCCCTGTGAACAGATTGTTTTGCTGTTGCAAAGTGTAATTGCTCCTTTGCATTCTGTAGATGAAATCTCTGACAGAGCAAAGAGTAACAGGCGAAATCCTGTCTTTCCTGATGTCAGGGAGAGGTGTGTCTTCCCAAAAAACAGTGTCAGGTTCTCACTCAATATGTGCAAATGTGCACTTAAACAGTTACTCTATGTGTTCAAAAATGTTATTCACTTCTTTTTTATTTTGCACTTCCATGCAATCTTTCCAAGTGATCTCCCCATTGATTCTCATGCTCTGTTTTTCTGTTCTGCATTTTTGGAATGGACCAGAGTTAGTTCATTTTCAGAGTTTTTATATATATATTTATATGGATGAATCATGTTCCCTGTATTTTCAATATTGCTGATGTTATTAATTCTGTTTCTTTTGTAGTGCTATTGAATCTATTCAAAATGTGAGAGCAGCACATAAGCCCTACTGGAAATGTTTGATGTATGAAGGTAATTACTTCTCTCTTTCTTCAAGCAAATATGATTGGCAAATGGATTCATATTGAAACTCAAAATGACTAAAATTAATACCACTCGTTTAAAATAACTGAACTACCAGTTCAAAAAAAATTATGAAACAGTGAAATGGGGTGAGACTTTATTTAGGGGTAAATGCAGAGCTGAACTGCAGTGGTATAGGGTTGAATTCTGAGTGAAGCTCCTAAACATCAAACCAAAAAAAGAAGTTCTTTGATTTCCTTTTTTTGAGGATTCTGTATGCTGTGTCAAAATTTTGGCCATAAGATTTATGATCACTTAAGACCTTATCACTAGATTAAAATAAATACTTCAGCACTGGAGGTTGTTGACATCATCTGTGTTAAGAAATATTGCACATGGAAATAAATATGCACCCTGCTAATATAGAACTACACAGTTTTATTAGTAAATAACTAAAAATTAACATCGATTAGGAATTAATACATGTGAAACCTCATTGGTTTTTCTTTTTTTTTTTTTTTTTCTTCTAGATGCATCTTTTTTACAAAATCCGAGCACTAAATTACACCTGCTAGAGAAGGCTAATTCAAATTCCTTCACAGAAGATGAGTCTAAGATAACCAATAAAGATGAAACAGTCAAAGTAGAAAGGTTTTTGGAATTGCACATGAAAAATATTCTATTTCCCGTACCTCCCATCAAAACAGCAGCAACAATTGAGTCTAAAGCTTCAGCACATTTGCTCCCACTATCTGTCCATGTGGTGAAGGAAATGGACATGAATGAAGTTAAAGCTCTTGTCAGGTTGGCTCTGTTTGTCCAAGTCTCAACATAATTATGAGCATAAGAGATTTAGGCACAGACTGTCATCTAGTCCTCTCTCAGTCATGGTCTTCTTTTGGTCTTGCTTACTTAATGCTAGCCAGAGTTTCTTCCTCTGAAAGATTAAGAAATTAGTGTTGACTACCACTCATATCTTTACACCTCTTTGTAGAAGGAGCCAGAATGTCTTAGAGAAAACAATTTCAAGGGTGATTGAGCAGCTAGTGCAAGCATATTTATTCGGAAGAAGGTTTTGTTAGAAGGGATCTTTAACTCTTAAAGCTCTGTGGCCATTTCTAGCTGAAAACACCCAAGCTGGCCTGATCTGAGAAGCCCAGCTTTTTGTCTTAAAAGTCCAATTCTGCTAGAAATCTACTTCCTGAACAGATTTAGATCTTCTATTTTCT